ACACACACACATACATATATATATATATATATATATATCTTGAAAAATGAAAAAATCTTCAATTGAGCACTGTTGAGTGATAAGCTAATTCTATAAACACCTGCGCTAATGCAAAGCTCTTCAGTAAAATGAATTGGATCACTCTGGATGATTGGCATTTGTTTACATTCGTAAAAAAAATACGCTAGTTTAGTTGTTTCTCTTCGTCGAATGAAGAGAGCTCAGTGGCAGAAACTCTCACTTATCGGTTGGGTTTCAATCTGGGCTTGAAGTATTCGGATGTCTAGTCGCACTGAGGAGCTGTGATACAGCGAAACAGTACTGTCTGCGAATGATATATATATATATATATATATATATATATATATATATATATATATATGAAGAAATATAGTTTTAAGGTGTGCTATATTTATGCGATAAAGTGCTCAATATCAGAGATAGAGCGTGTGTAAATATAAATATAAAAGTGAACATTGAAGTCAACACTAAGAGGCGACAGAACTGTTTCATGCTGGGCCCTTTGAATTATTCAGCTAGAAAGAGAACAAGTTAAAATCCTTTTATGTGAGAAACACTGTCTTCTCAATTGAGCAATGGTGGGAGGAAAAAGATCACTCAGGCCCTCAGCAATGTTACCAACATTTATACCCTGGCTTCCATTTTCAAAGTCCATTCAAGAACCATCAAGAAAAGACCGAATAAGTATTTTAAAAAAAAAGAGGGAACATGTAGAGAGGAAAACTGGCTCACAAGGTCACAACTGGGAGAGGAATCATCATTTCAACATAAAGCTAAAGAGATCAATTAGAAAAGATCCAACTCAATTCATTAGTCGTTTGGCACACTTAAGAGGAGTTTCAGCTACGACAGTCCAAAGAATAATGAAAAAAAAGCTTTGAAATGAAATCGTACGTGAAACGTGTGAGGCAACTTGTTACTCCAGGAAAGAAAGTTAGAAGGTTAGAGAGGGCGAAGAACATATTGAATAAGTTGGAAAATGATCCTGGAATAATATATATATATGAAATTATTTGCAATCCTTCATATGCTTCCGATCCTTAGCTATGATTAATTAATGATGAACATGTCAGTTTCGTTTATGATCGATTTCATTACGATTCTTATATTAAGCTTGGAGAGTAATTATACATTCTTATAGCTTAAAGTAGAGTCCAATAGTGTTATAAAAACCCTGGAGAATTCCAGTAAGATAACTTTAATCATTTCTAAGATACAAATTTTCAATGCATAATTTAACAAATGGACAATTTTGCTTTTACACGATTTGTGGAATTTTGCTTCTATACCCAGTATATATATACGTGGGTGCGTGTGTGTGTATGTGTGCGGGTGTGCGTTTGGGGTACATATATTTACATATACGTACACGTATAGAAATAAAATACAAGTGTGTGTTAATAAACACACACACAGAGACACAGACACACACACACACACACATATATATATATATATATATATATATATATATATAATTAATCAGTACGTATACTAGTACCTCTTTATAACTGGTCGTTTGATTTATCTATTCCTATAACTTTATATATATATATATATATATATATATATATATATATATATATATATATCCTTGTTATACTTTATGCCCACAACCTACCACAGAGTCACAAATTAAAACATTGTTATTTTATGCATATATGCACACACACAAATATATATGCATACATATATATACACACACATATATATTATGTTTAAGTTAACATGTATATATATATATATATATATATATATATATATATATATATATATATATATATATAGATATTATGTCTAAGTTAACATATATGTGTCTAATTTAACGCAGACATACAAAATAAACCCACACACATATATATATATATATATATATATATATATATATATATATAGAATTAAATATATATAAATAATATCTAAAATATGGTATGATTTGTTTTGAAATTTACACAGCAAAAACCATGCGGCTGTTGGTCTGTATGCATTGCTCTGCTGGCGACTGAATGTCGGATCTTTAACGAATGGCTATTATCCCGGCAGAATCTGGCATCCCCGGGCTCGACTTTCATATTCCCTCGACCGACCTCCATCCTCCTTCCGTGGGAAGTGCATCAGGAGGGAACTGTGCGGGTCGACAATCCATGTCGATGGACCGAAAGACCCAAATGCGATGACCATATAGTCTGATAAGTTTCCATTAACGTTCCTTATAAATAGCAGATATTATTTTGATTTCTAATGTCTTTAGTTTTTACTTTCTTTCTTCAAGATTATATATATATATATATATATATATATATATATATATAGGTGTGTATATATATATATGTGTGTATATAGTCTTTAGTTTTTACTTTCTTTAAGATTAGATATATATATAAATATACATATATATATATATATATATATATATATATATATATATATATATATATATATATATATATATATATTTCCGAACCGTTATTGATTCCACCACTCTTTTTTAACACGCACAGACACACACACACATATATATTAGGCTCGTCTCATATTCAGTTATCTATCTATCTATCTATCTATCTATCTATATATATATATATATATATATATATATATATATATATATATTTCCGAGCCGTTATTGATTATACCACATACACACACACACACACATACACACACACACACATATATATATATATATATATATTCCGATCCGTTAACGTTATCCATTACATCTCTCCACACACACACACACAAACACACACATATATATATATATATATATATATATATATATATATATATATATATATATATATAGTTGTGTGTAGATATATATATATATATATATATTTACCTCGTATCATTTGTCACCGCTTCTTGTTATCGACTCGATCTCTAACACTTTGTGGTTAAGATAGGCTCTGTATTTGATTAAAAGAAGGCACAAAATCTCAGGCCGACATACATAGTTCCTGGAGACTCTAATTCCGTTGAAGTACCTCCCCATTCAGCTAAAATATCACGTTGAAAGACCGGTTCCCGTACGGTCGCAACGAAGTTAAGCAACATAGAGCCTTGTCAGTATCTAGATGGGTGACCGCTTCCGAATACAAGATGCTGTACGCTTGGATTTGCGCGTAGTATAATTGATAATGACTCGAAATTGTTAATCGGAGAGCAGAGTTCCAATTGCAGTCGGTTTCGTTATATTGACTTACGTGCAATTTACCATTGGGAAAGGTATGAATCCACGTCTTCTCCCCCACCAGGTATGAGTTAATTAGTAAGATTTGTATCACAGAAGCCATTATTATCTTCAGAAAAAATTGTTACATTCTGAAAAATATTTTCTGGCATTAAATAAACTACAATGAGTTGATAAGCCCCGAGCGAACCAATCAATCAATCAATGAAATACTGATTAGTCACACAAGCATATATTTTAGATTTATTTACATTCTCTGGAATATAAATGTATAGAAATCACCGTGGTCAAAAGTGAGGGATGTGTTTACATGTCAGTTTTAATATAAAATTGATCCCCCACTTTATATCCACATTAAAATTTCTTGTTTGTTGATAAACCGTAGATAACGAATCAGTCAATGAAATACTGATTAGTCACACAGGCATGTCTTTTAGATTTATTTACATTCTCTGGAATATAAATGTATAGAAACTACAGTGTCCACAAATTGAGGGATCAGACTATATATTTATTGTGATATACAATTGATCCCCCACTTTATACCCTATTATAATTTCTTGTTTATTTATTGTGACCTTACAATCTACAAATATTTTCTGACTTTAAATAACCTGCAAAGGGTTGATAAGCCGTAAAAAAGCGAATCAATAAAAAAAAACATTGCATTTAAACATACATAGCAGGTAGATGCCATGTTTTACCTCTAACCACGCATTCGCGAGTGTTATCCCGATATAAACCTGGTCCTTCTGTCTCTGTCGGGAGCTGAATAAACACTTCCCTTTGACCTCTACTTTTCTTACTGTTTCGGCTGTTGAGCCCTCCTGGTAAACAACAAAGATGAGGATACTCGTTCGCATGTAAATAGTGCAAATAAAGACTGACCTTTTGGGCGAAAGACCATGATGAATTTACCGTTAATATTTGATGCCAAAATTACTCCACAAATTGAGTTTCTTTTCGGTGAGAAAAAAAATACATTACATTTAATACCTTTTCTTTTTAACTGTTCAGTCTTGTCGAACAATCACGTGGTCAAGATAAACACTCAGTTGTGGAGCAAGCTGAGTGAATACTAATTCAACATTGAGAAAGAGAGCTATTTATGGTGCAATGGAGCATCTCATTATGCTAAAGTGGGATAGTCCATTGCTTGAGCTGTGATTGGCTGCTGGTACCTGAGTGGAAGTATTTCTATATAAATACCAGCTTGATTCCTCAGTTAGTTTGCAGGGTTTGTATTAAGTTACAACCTGCTTTATTTTTGTCTGCCAGCTGGACGCTAGCTGGGACTCTTACGCCGGTAAGTGTTGTTTATTGTATTGTTATTCTACAAGTCTTTATTTGCATTATTTACTTGCGAACGAGTATCCTCATCATTGTTGTTTTTATCACAACGTTTCGGCCGTTGTGCTCTCCGGCCTTCATCCGTTAGTTTTATTTTAGCCAATTTTTCTCTTTCCACTTTCGATATTTTGCTGAGCTAATGGATAGCGGCTCGGATTGAAAAATCGGAGATTTATGGATTGATTTGTATTTTACGGTTTATCAACCTTTTGCGGGTTATTTAAAGCGAACAAAATCTTTTAGAGTGTAACAATTTTTTGGAGATAATAATGATTCGCTGATAAGTCCTACTAATAGCTGGAGGTGGATTCGTATCTTTCCCAGGCAGGGTGGGGGGTATTTTTGCGGAAATGAAGGCAAAGTACCCCACTGGAATTGGAACTCGGCTCTCCGATTCCGAGACGTTATCCATTAGACCACTCGCACATTCATGCTTACAGCACTTGGTATTCCCAAGCGGTCACCCATCTAAGTACTGACCAGGTCCAATGTTGCTTAACTTCGATTTCTTATTCCGAATCGCTATTCATTACACCACTCGCACATCCAAGCTTATAGCAGCTGCTATTCCAAAGTGGTCACTCATTTAGCTACTGACCAGACTCGACGTTGCTCAATTTCGGTCATCATACGCGAACCACGGGGAGGTACTGCAAGGAGTTAGAATCTCCAGGGATTATGCCTGTCTTGCTCAAATGTTGTGCCATATTTCACTTATAGTCAAATACAGTGTGACGTCATCCCCCGGTCGCAGCGCCAACTGTGACGTTCTATCCTGATCTACCACGGCGCCAGTTGTGACGTGGCCGTTCCAGGGTCCTATCCCGGTCACGACACCAGTTGTGACGTCCCTAAACAGCACCAATTGTGACGTCTTCGCCGCGGCGCCAGCTGTTCGCTCCTCGCTCCTCGCTGCTCCGTCCGGGTGTCGCTGCTCCAAACGTGACGTCCGCCTGTCGCGTCAGTCGTGTTGTCTCGTACTGTGACGACCAACTGGCTTGGGATCGGTCGCGGCACCCAAATGTGACGTTCTAACCTTTTGGTGATTCGGGTGGGAATCTGGTTAGATTTGATATCAGCCTCACCGTTCCCAACTCGCTTCCAACGCCTGGTTACCAAGGTAACTGCATTGATCTCCAGTCTGCCTACCCACGTTGGGAATTGATCTTAGACAGACGAGATCAAACAGTGGTTGGGGCCGTAATGCAAATTGAGTTCAACGGGGGTGATAACACACAAATATGCATAAAAGAAAATAAAATGAAAACTCAAAAGTTCAAAGTATCAAAGAAAAAAGGTAACAAACTTTATGTCTAGTTGTTCGATACATAGGACTGCATCTATTTCCCGACCCGTTCTGTGGATTGTGACACGTCGTTTTCGCTAGGCAAGTTTTAACGCTTCAAGTTGTTTGCTCTCTAAGAAATTTGTGTTTCGGTGTGTCTTTGGACGAAAGTCGAAAAACTTATTTCGGTGGTCTGGTCCTAAGTCGCTCTTCAAAATAATTGTTCTTGGTTGAAGAGGAGTCCGAAATTTCGCGTGAATCTTGGTCAGCTATCTTGAGGCGGCTTCAACTCTGGAAACTCAACTCTGCCGCCAGGGCCCGAACTGATTTCTACCTGTCGGGGCCTGGCTTTTATTGACGCCGACAAAAACCGGGGTGGGTCTGTTGGCGTCCGGGGGGTTCCTCGATAATTCTAAATACATATCCACCCCTTTTATTTCTGGTTAGGGATTTTCCACTCTTTTCCATTTTTGGTAACTTCTTTTCACTCACACTTTCTCACCATGCTTCTGAGGGGCGTGAACTGCCCTCCCCACTTCTTTGTAGCAGCTTCTCATACTTATACTCTGGATGGGGGCGTCGACAGCCTTCTTCGTGAGGTCTTGGTCGGGTATCTTTCCTCCTCCTTCGTGCGTCACGTGATCACCACTTGACCAATGACGTCTTAGTCGGGCGTGAACAATCCGCGGCTTTGTTTCGGAAAAAAATACCTTGCTTAACTAAAAAAAGAAAAATTAATTATCTCTTCTCTTTCCTTTTTCTTCCTTTCAAATCGCCGTTATCATGAACGGATAATATGACAACTCTTTGTTCAACACGTGGCGTTTGTCAAGTAGTTTATCGTTAATTCCCCAAGATGGTTGGTTTTCCGACATAGCCTCAGAAAAGAATTTTCCCCAAGTTTTCAGTCAGTCTGACGTCTCCAAGGAAGAAAGAAAAATATTTCTGGTTCTATTCATTTTCCTTCGGTTCATGTGTCTGATAACAAAATTTTATTATCGCAGGGCAACGTTGTTTTGTTGAAAAGAATTTAGCTAGCGAGACTGCTTGTGTGGGATTTTAATTTTCCATATCTAACTAAGGCTCTGTAGCTACACCTGTGTTTTGTCAATTATCAAAATTAACGTTTTCAAGTGGACTTTCTTTGGCGAACATTTCTTGATAACACAATTCTATTCGCGCAGGCCAAGTAGAAAAATCGGTCAACGATTACTCGTAGGTGGCCTTTAATTTTCATATCTGTCCAAAGTCTTTTTAGTCGCCTGTTTCTTTTCGTCCCTTATATATAACATTTTCACTTGAATTTTTCCCTTGGCCGATGCCTTCCCGTACCAATAGTTTGTTTTCATATCCTTAGATAACACTTCCCTACACACTCAAATCTCATTGTCATTGTAATGACACTCTTTCGCCATTTGCCACTTATCAAAATAACCCTTTCTTTTTTTATTGCCTCCTAGCCGTGTGTGTGTCCGCCTATCACCTATGATTCGGATCTCGCCTCACTTTTTTCCTTCTTTTCTTTCCTTTCCCTGTCTGCCTTTCTTTCTCTGCCTGGATCCATGGTGCCACACAGGGCTGATCTCAAACACGAAGGGTCCGTAAGACAGAAATCGGAGAGTCGAGTTCGAATTCCAGTCGGGTTTCTTATATTTACTTGGCAAAGGTGTGAATCCGTCTTTTCATCCCCCACCAGCTATGGGTTAAATAGTAGGACTCTGTATCTGGAAAAATTCTTTCTGATCTCTAAAAATGTGTTTATACAATATTCACTTGCAAAAAAAAAGTAGATATATTCTTTCAATCCAAAAATATGTTTCGGCTTTAAATGACCCATTAAGGGTTGATAAACCATGAAAAACAAAGGAACCAATCATAAATCAAACAAACTTCGTGCTTCCATCTGGGTGGTGAAAAATTCCATAATAATTTCATGGACATTATTTTCTACCACTGCTTCTCGTTATTATTGTTGTTGTTGTTGTTGTTGTTGTTGTTGTTGTTGTTATTTCCTTTGATTTCTGGTGTGTACACATTTCTTTACGGGTTCCGCCCAGAGACCTAAGGTTAGAAATGGCATCATGACACTTTCCACTGAAAAAAAAATTACATAGATAAAGCCCTTCGTTAAGTGTGGGCTGTACTTGTCAGAACAATTTTTTGTATCTCTTTGAGGCATGGACTTCCAGGAATCCCTTCAATTAGTCTACTGCAATCTTTTCCAACCAGTCCTAGGGCTCCAACCACAACAGGGATTGTTGATGTTCCCATATGCCACATTTTCGAGATTTCTATTTCAAGGTCCTTGTATTTTTACAGCTTTTTGAATATCTTCAAAGATACATTGCAGTCTGCAGGACTGCCATATCAATAAGGAGGCACATTTTTTTGTTTGTGGTCTTTAATAACAATATCTGGGCGGTTAGCTTTGATTGTTCTGTCAGTGTGTATTGTGTAGTCCCATAGAATTGTAACAGGTCCTATCTCCTTAACCGGATCTGGGTGGTGTTCATACCAGTTTCTTTCAGTTTCCTTCCCGTAGAAGTTGCAGATTTTCTAGTGCAGATATTGGCCCACTCTGTCATGCCGGGTTTTATATTCAGTGGGTGCCAACATCGTGCAACCTGATATAAGATGATCAATTGTTTCTGGATATTTATCACAAAATCTGCATTTTGGGCTAACACAATATTTTAGTATATGTGCTTGATTATTATTATTATTATTATTATTATTATTTCCTTTGATTTCTATTGTATACGAATTTACTTCCGGGCACCAACCAGAGACCTAAGGTCAGAAAAGCCATCACATTTTCTATTGGACATTTTTGTAGAAAGAATAAAAATAAAAATAAAAATAAAACAACCTCAAAGCACACACATATTTTACATAAGTAAAGTCCTTCGTAAAGTGTAAGCTCCAATTGTGAACACATTTTTTTATATTTCTTAAAGGCATGGGTTATAAGGATTCACATCATTTCTGAACTTAGGTCAGAAATGACTTCAAGACATTTTCCACTGATCACACACATTTTACATAGATAAAGCTTTTCATAATATGTGAGCTGTATCTGTGAGTACCATATTTTGCATTTCTTTAAGGCCTGGGCTACCTGAAATCCCTTCATTGAGTCTATCGGAACCCTTTCCAATCAATCTGAGGGCTCCAACTACAACTGCAATTATTCTTGTCCTTATGTGCCACATTTTTGAGATTTCCATTTCAAGATCCTTGTATTTCGATAGATTTTGAAGATCTTTAAAGATGCATTTATCACAATGTTTGGGCGATTAGCTTTGATTATTCTGTCTCTGTGTGCATTTGAATGTCATCTAAAATAGCTACAGGTCCTATCTCTGCAGTTTCCTTCCTGAAAAAGTGGCATATTTTCCAAAGCAGATATTGGCCAATTCTATCATACCGAGTTTTATATTCACCGTGCAACCTGATACAAGATGGTCAATTGTTTCTGGATATTTATCACAAAATCTGCATTTTGGCTCAACACAAATTTTCACCACATGTGCTTGGTAATTTCTAGTTAGCAAGCATTGGTCCTGTGAAGTAAGAATTATACCTTTGGTTTCAGCTTTTACCCCCTGCGCTACGTAACCACTGATATTATTATTATTATTATTATTATTATTATTATTATTTGGGTGTGTCATGTTTCCTGCTTTGTATCCTGTAGAGCCGAGTCCAAACTATGGTCCTTAGAATTGTCATCTAGTTGATAGCACTTTTCTTAGTATATGAGATGTTCTTAGCAGAACGATCTTCTGGGCAAGTTGTATGTTGATGTTACCTGGGACACTGTTAGTAAAATTATCCATTCCTTTTCTGACGAGGCCCAGTTCTCCGATTACTATTGGTACAGTCATAGTCTTCATTCCTCACATCCTGTTAATCTTGATCTCATGGTCCTTGTATTTGGACATTTCTCGATAATTTTCATACAGGATAGTCACATCGTTATTTTGGGTAACTGTATATGGTTGGTACTCATACCATCTCTCAGTAGTGTCGATTTTGTGCTTCTTGCATATCTTCCAGTACACATATGTCGTTACCTTGTTATGGCTGTGGGTACAACCATTTCTGCTAGTTCCAGGCATCCTGAGCAGTTTCATTATATCTTCCGCAGATCCTGCATTTCGGGTTAGATCCATCCTTTATTATTATTATTATTATTATATTTCCTTTGGTTTCTGTT